ACTGGGGAGGCTGGCAGGTGGTGTGGTGTTTTTTAAAGTTATTTTTTTCTTTTAAGAATTATTCTATTGGGAACCAGCAGTCAGCGTAATGGCTATGTTGCTGGACTCCCACGTAGTCAACCGCAGTTTGCGTCCCAGACCCGGTGGCTTAAAACTCACGCCAGGCGCATGTGCATGAGTGCCCAAGATCCCGAGAGGAGAATGGAGGAGAAGGGATTGCAACGTGACCATTCCCCCTGGGGGGTGATTTCTCGCTTTCTGTCTCTCTGTCTGTCTCTGTCTGTCTGGCGAGCACACGCGCCCTATAGTGAATCTACCCCCCCCCAAAAAAAATAAATAAAAATAAAAAAAACTCACGCCAGGTGCGTGTGTGTGTGCGTGTGTGCCCAAGATCCCGAGAGGAGAATGGAGGAGAAGGGATTGCGGTGTGACCATCCCCCCTGGGGGGTGATTTCTCGCTTTCTGTCTCTCTGTCTGTCTGTCTGGCGAGCGCGCGCGCCCTATAGCGAAAACCTCTCCAAAAAAATAAAAGAATTATTTTATTTAACTTTATTTATTTACTTATTTTAATTTGACCAGAGAGGGACCCGGAGAGAGAGAAAGTGAGAAAGGAAGTCCCCAGGTCCACGACTTGAACGCAGTCAGCCATGTGGGAAACACCACTCCACCTGCTGGCCCCTAAAATAGTTTTTTTAATTATTTTTTAAATTTTATTTATTCATTCATTTTAATTTGACCAGAGACATACACACGCAGAAAGAAAGAGAGAGAGAGAAAGAAAGCAAGCTGCTAAATTCAGGACTCAAACCACGGTTGGCCATGTGAGGTGTGTCCAGCGCCTTAACCACTATGCCACCTGCTGGTCCCAGTAATTTTTTTAAAGAATGATTTAATTTTATTTATTCATTTATTTTAATTTGACCAGACACACACACACACACACACACACACACACACAGAGAGAAAGAGAGAGAGAAGCAAGCCACCAGGTCTGGGACTCGAACCAGTCAGTCACGAGGGAGTGTCCAGAGCCTTAACCATGACACCTTCTACTGGTCCTTAAAATAATTCTTAAATAAAAAGAAGAAGAAAAAGAGTAACAACTTACTGACTGAACAGGGTCACAAGGTACTTTAGGGACACCAATGACATTCTATATACTGATTTGGGTGGTAATTACATAGTATGTTCCTTTGTAAAAAGGATTCATTGAATTGTACACTAAAAATACATGCACTCGTGAAGCCATACTTCATTGAAAAAGTGGACACCACCCAAGTGGTCTACGGTGCCAGACGGTAGCTCATTTCTAGCTCTGCCCCTTGCCCGCACCTGGAGTCTGGCATCTAGGACCGCCTGACCTGCACAGAAATGAGCTGCCTTCAAATGAGAATTCTGCCACAATCAGCTAACCAGTTCACAGGAAAAACAAAAACAAAAACAAAAACAAGAAGATGCAAAGAAACATGTTAAATGGCTGTACAGGGATGTAGCCAGCAAAATCTAGCAGGAA